CAGGTGCGCTGGCCTCCGCCTCGGCGCCACCATTTTGTGTGAGGGAATGCTGGTCTTCTCCCCTCGCCTCCGCCGCGGGCCAGTTCGCAGCTGCGGCTGGCCGCCCCCTCCCCTCGTCCTCTCCCCACCTCGATGCTTGGCGTGCGCGCTGATTGCTTTGGCTTGGGGAGACGCGGACTCGGGGAGGTGTGGAACTTCAGCGTTTAGACTCGGTTCACGCGACCAGGTGGCCTCCAGAGATGCTCTGACCGTCTTCCCTTACCTGTAACTACTTTTGGAATAGATACTGTATGATTCTCTCTCCTCTAGAATGCAGGTCGTTGCAGTTTTGTCCTAATTGTGTTCTCAGCTCTCCATTATGCCATTTTTCAAGAGGCCTTTGCCTTAGGAGGTAAAGCCTTGAACCCTGGGTGGTTTATGGCTCGGGGGTCTGGATTACACTGACTCCCATGACTGTCCTTGGGGAGAAAGGATGAAGCATTTCACTGGCTTTTTAGCGTCTGGGAAGCGGCGTGGGTATCGTGTCGGGGTGGATTCGAAAATAACCACCTGATGCAGGTCACCTTTCCCCGCTGGGAGAGCAGTTCTTAACGTAAATTAAAACGGTGTGTACGGATTTTTTGTGGAGTTGGAACTGGAGGGACATATTTCTAAAAAATTTCCAGAAGGGAAAGTTTTCATTGTGATTCTCAGAGAACTGTGACACAGTTTGTCATTTTCAAGGTTCCTGAGAATTTGGGAAATATTTTAATTCGTTGGCTCCTCGCGAATTACTCTACTTACGAACTGAGCAGATTATACCCAAGCCATTTGTATTTTGTCATTGCATCACAGACAGGGATTACAATCGGGAATGCTGGCTGTTGCATAATGAACACATTTGGGCCCTGGAGGGAATTCACCGAAGTGGATCTGGGTTTGGTGTGCCATGCGATTTTATTTTTTACACAGGATGTACAGATAATCTTTGCAAACTACGTCCCTTATCCTACTATGAAGTGTTGACAAGAGGAAAGATTTTTAGTGACTAGTATGGACCAGACTAAATTTTTTAGTATTTTAGTTTTGCTTGTTTTGGAGGAAAGGCAAGGAATGAGATGGCGAGAGGCACCTGGGAAAAGTCCGTTTGTCCTAACACTCGAAGCGCAAACAAAGATAAAACATGATCGTCATAGTGGACTTTTCTCCTTAAATTAATGATGAGGATCTGTTTGGGGAACTTAGAAATAGCTTACGTGAATAGCAACGTTGACCTTCCACATGAGTGACCATAAATTAAGATGTCTTACCTGTGGATTTTAGGTTCTAAAAGGCTTCAAATTAGTCTGACCTTTGAGATAGTATTCAAGTCATTACAAATGCTATCATTTATTTAATAAAGATGGAATATATATCCAACAAAGGATTTTGATTTGGAGAAAACTAATTAAGTGCTTTTGAGGAAAGATTTCCATGTCACCCTCCTTATTAAATTAAACTTTTCATTTTCTGTTTTGTTGAAAACTCCCACTAATTTTGTCTTCAAACAAGTGATTCCATATCGTTTACCATCTCTGGCAGAAATATCATGCTTCCCATTAAAGCTATGTTTGTTCTATAGGGAGAATTATGGAGACAAGAAGAACCTTAGACATTTAGAGATGAGTCTTGGTTTAGGGAATTTAAGTAAGCAAAGCTTGCCTGCTAGGGATTGCGGGTGACCTGTCTGGACCTATCCTAGGCCTATGGGGGATGAGATTTTTTTTTTTTTTCTAGCAAATAACAGCGCTGAGTCAAACACAACTCTTACACTTTTACATTGATTCTGTTATATTACAAGTCAGAGAAGTTCACTGAATTGGTAAGATTGTATTTAATTGACTCCAGTTTGGAAGTGATCTTGGTGTGCTTTTGTCTTTGAAGTTGCTTGAGATTTTGAACATTATTTTACCAATGGTTGAGAAATTGAAAACAAAAACCTAATATTTTTCTCTATTAGCTCCTGCCTAAATACTCCGTTTTAAGCCTTAAGCATATTATGTTCAGTCGTCTGCCTAAAAATTCAGTAAGATTTACTTTTTAAAGGTAAGTACAACATAAGAGAGTTGAGTATTCATGTAGAGGTTCCAACAGTATCTGTCTAGCTCACGCCTGTAATCCCAGCACTTTGGGAGGCCGAGGCGGGTGGATCACGAGGTCAGGAGATCGAGACCATCCTGGCTAATAGGGTGAAACCCCGTCTCTACTAAAAATACAAAAAATTAGCCGGGCGTGGTGGTGCGCGCCTGTAGTCCCAGCTACTCGGGAGGCTGAGGCAGGAGAATGGCGTGAACCCGGAAGGCGGAGCTTGCTGTGAACCGAGATCGCGCCACTGCACTCCAGCCTGGGCGACAAAGCGAGACTCCGTCTCAAAAAAAAAAAAAAACAAAAAAACCCAAAAAACACAGTATCTGTCAAGGATTCTGTATAAAGGATTGTTGGTTGGGTAGGAAGTTAAAACTTGTATGTTCCTTCCCCTGAGATTTTGTGATTCTAAGTGGAAAAAAGGAATTGTGTGATTATCGTATTTAAGATGATAGTCTCCTCCCATGCCATTATTTTTTGTATATTTAGCCCTGAAATTTAAGTTCTAAATTTGGTATGCCTCAGCGGTAGTAGGAATATTTCACAATTGTTTCAGTGATAACAATAAAATCACCAAGGTAGAATTATTAAGGGAAAAGTGTGATGATTTAAAGATAGTGAAGGAAAAACTAGTAATTTATCAGATATCCTAGAATACTTATTAGACTCTTGGAGTTTTAGAGTTGGTATATGATACCTTAACGTTTACGTGCTCTGTATAGGGGACTACTCATCTATGCTAGCCTGTTTTTTAGGCTAGAATTGTGACTTGCCTAGATTCCTTCCACCCCCACATGTGTTTTTTTTTTTTTTAAGAATACAGTTTTGGTTACTAATTGTTCCAGTGAAATGCTAGTTTTAGGCTAAACAAAGGTAGATTTCATTTATTCCACAAACATTGAGTGTCTGTTGTGTGTTGTAGGGCACAAACAGGCCCTACTGTCATGGAGTCTATAGTTTAGTGAAGTATTGTGGATTACAATGTTAACAATTCCTTAAGGTCTAACTATACAAAGGTTTTTGAAAATACAAGTTGGGAACAAATTTAGCAAATTGCATATTTCAAAAAGTGCCAAGTTGAATGTTGTCACACTTTATTTGTAACTTCTCAGGTATAGAATTAGTTTAATTTGGAAAATTCATTCCAGTAGTTCTTGTAATGTGTACTGTTAGGCTGGGTACAAAAACATGAATGTGCAAAGTAATCTAGAAATTCAGTGTTAAAGATGAGACAAACATTAAGGAGATAATCCTGTCCTGTGAGTGAACTGAACAAAGTAATATGGGGCTTGCAGAGGAGGGCTGCATTAATTCTGTCTGACTGACTGTGGAAGGGCTTTACAGAGGCGGTGACGGTTGAACTGGGTCTTGAACAATGGATGAGTGAGAACTTGTCAGAAGTTTTTGGGGATGTAGGATACGATGAGAGACAGTCCCAGCAAATGCTAAAGCGTAGAGTTATAACCGGTCCTGTTCTGAAAACAGGGAAGTCAGTTGATGTGGCCCAGGTCCCGTGGTCGTTGGGGCCTGATTGTGAATGGATGTGTATGAGTTTTGCTCCATGGTGATGGGGAACCAATAATGGGTTTTCGAAGAAAGGAATGAACAGAATGGGGTTCTCTCTCTCTCTTTTTAGGAAGATCATTCCAATAGCAGTTTAAACACTGGATTGGAGTGGAGAAAAGATACGAGCCTTTATGATAACCTTGGCAAAGCCTTGAAGCAAAGCTGTGGCTGTGGAGGTGACAGAGGAGGGGCTAGAGTTGAGACACATCTGCTGAAGTAGAAAGGCAGTATTTGAGGTCGAAGGAGATGTGCTTCGGTGTCACACAGACTGGATTTAAGTCAGGGCACCAGGACTCTGCTGCCATGGTTGTGTAAATGAGGGATAGTTACTTAGGCTTGGCTTCTTTAGCTGTAAAATGAGTATGAGACATACTTTGCAAGCTTATTGAAATGGCCAGAAGTAGTGTATAAAGCTCATTGACTG